TTACAACTCCATGTCTTAAAAATACATATTCTATTTGAGATTTAGTTGTTGTAGTATCAGATTTATATCTTGCATCACAATATCCAATCAATTTTGGATCTGTAGATTGTATATAGTATAATTTCAAGTCTTCAGTACCTTTTAAATAATGTAATAAATATTTGATGCCATTCCAATGTTGTGGCATTGGACGTGCACTATATCTTGCAAGAATACTAACTGCAAATGTAATATTTGATCTTGTAGATGTAGTTAAATATAAAAGTGCTCCAACCGCTGCAAGATATGGATATTGATCTCCCACTAGGTTAAGATCATCAACATATACAGCGATGATTACAAAACCAATTTTATCTCGTTTGATAAACAAAGAAAGAATTAGTGGATCACTTACAAACTTATTTGTAATTAAATAATCTTAAAGACATTGATACCACATGCGTCCAGATTATTTTAAACCATACAAGGCCTTATATAATTTAATACCACAATATTATCTTGGAGTGGGTCCATTTGAAATTCCTATTTTTAAGCCAAGTGGAACTTTCATATAAATATTTGCATCAAGAGAATCATATAGATATGTAGTTATTACATCCATCAAATGCATCTTAAAGGTGGCATGAACTGTCATTCCAATAATATATCAAAATGTAATTGAATCCATGATTAGAGAATATGTGGATTCATAATCAATGCCAAATCGTTGAGTAAATCCTTGAACAATAAGACGAGCTTTACAGCGAATTATTTGACCTTGAGCATCTCGCTTACATATTAATACCATCTTATATTCCATAGGGCAAGATGTAAGAGTATCTACAAATAGACCAAAGACTTTCCTCTTATGCTAAGAGGCATACTCCTCCTCAATAGCAGTTTTCCATTTTGATCAATCAAAGAGACTAATTGCCTCTTCGATAGTTTGAGGTTCAGGATCGCCTTTCTTGTAAGAAAGGGCTTCTGTAATCATACATGCAAATTATTCGTCTACCAGAATAGATGGTCTGTGCCAAATATCATCCGTAGCACAATATAAAATAGATAATTCTTTACTCAACTTGTTCTTATTCCTTCCAATTCTAAGATTGTTTTTCACAAGAATTGAATGTATATTATACTTGGATATATCATCATGAATTGGTAGTCCCGCAAGATGAGTGGTAATTTCTTGAAAAATAATACCATGATTATTTAATATTATAGCTTTCTTCTTATGTAGTTGCTTATCTGGTCCATGAGTTCTTTTAGTTGTTGTTGTTATAACTTGAGGTATTAAAATCAATGGCACTACAATCTGAGTAAGTGCATTCTGAGCCTCATTAATAGGAACTCTTGTAATTCTAGGTCTATCATTGAAGCCATTAGGTATTTCATCTACAATCCGTTTTAGATGCAAAATCTTAGCAACTTTAGTTTTTGCCAAAGATATCATAGGATCGAGATTCATTTTAAACATTTTTGGTGCTTCAAATACGAGTACTTTATTTCTTTGTTGATTGGATACTCCTTCTTGAAGAGATAAGAATAAATTTTCTTCAAAATGGCAATTTTGTAAACATGCACGTAATAATGTGTCAGTTGATGGATCAATAATATGAATAATACTTAGTGAATCAAAACCAACATATATGCCTTCTTGTCGATGAGCTCAAATGGTATGCCATCGAGGTTTTGGTACTCGAATCCAAGAACGGCAACCAAATACCTGTAAGTGAGATACATTTCGAACACGATCCAAAATGAGTTCATGTGGTAAAATAATTTCAAGGGAAGACGGATAGATGGATATTAATGCTGTAGTATGTAAAATTGCATGACTCCACATAGATGCAAGTAAATTTGCATGAAGGAAGAGTAGCCGGATAATGAATTGTATATGCTTTCTAAATGACTCTACAAGTCCATTTTGAGCATATTCATATGGAACACAGTATATCAACTCAATTCCTATTGCAATACAATAGTCTTCAAAAGACTTTGATGCAAATTCTTTTGCATTATCTATATGCAATGTTTTTATAGGATAATTAGGAAAATGTGCCTGAAAATGAATGAGCATAGATATAAGATTGGCAAACATCATATTTCGAGTTGATAATAATGAAACATGTGATTGTTTACTTAATGTATCAACAAGGACCAAAAAATAATGAAATGGTTCCGATATTGGATTAATAGGACCACAAATATTCCCATGCAATCTTTCAAGCATTGGTAGTAATTCTTGTGGAAGTTTCCAAATTGGAGGCCGAATAATCATTTTACCTTGCACGCATGTATGACATAATTCCATAGAGTCTACATCCAGAGGCTTTAAATTTTATCCAATTATACATGGAATGATCTTTCTAAATAATGTAGATCCTGGATGTGCCAATCATCCATGCCAAAGAAAAACATGACTCTCTGTGATAGATGATGCAAAATTAAATATAATGGGAAGTTGAATTGCAATTTGGTATAAACTTTTTTTTTGGCAAAAGCTTTTTTAACAACTTTATGATTCTTTGCAAGAACCAAAACCTCTTTTTTTTTTATTTAAAATGGCGGTCGAGAGGTGATAACCATTAATACGCACATCTCGATAGCTGATGAAACTCTGAGGTGCTGAAGGTGCAAATATGGCATTTTTACGTTTTATGATGGAACCCGTAGGTGATTTTATCATTGCTGTGCCCTCTTCAAAACAAAACGCATTTGCTCCAGCCATGGTCATCATATTTTTAGTTTGTCAAGTTGAAGATTTTACAATAAAAAATTGTCTATCTTGCAAGATAGTATGTGTTGTTACAGAATCAATGAATGCATCATTTGATTCATCATTAGAGGTTTTGTCATTCATATAAGCCTTTAAATCATCAACACCAATTGAATCTATTGACGCATCTATAGTATGAACTTCATGAGCCTCAACTCGTAGTTTCTTATTTTCTTGGAACATTTTAATAAAATATTTTGAAGTACAGCACACATGTGCTAAATGTCCAATTATTCCACACTTATGGCAAGAATGCATCTCTATTTTATTTTTTTTCTACTATAATTAATAGTAGAACGTTTATTCTTTCTATATGGGTAGAAATGGTCATAACTATGACTACCCTCATACTTATGAGCACGTTTTCCATGTTTATATAATTTTTTTTTAGACTTTGAAATATTAAGTGCATGAGATTCTGTAACTATAGTTCCAATAGGACGAGCTTCCGCATTGTGCAAGAGTAGCTCATTTTACTTCTCCGCAAGAAGTAGATAGGACATGACATCAGAATGACTGAAATTTCATGTTCCTGTATTGTTGTCCAAGCATAGCAGATACAGGAAGAAATGTAGAGAGAGTTTTTTCAATCATTTCTTCTTCAGAGATGCTTTGTCCACATAATTGTAATTGTAAGACAATACTATACATTTCACTATTGAAAGCATTTAAATTTGGAAAATCCAAGACACGTAAATGTGTCCAATTATGACATATGCGTAAAAAGAAAATGGTCTTTTGATAATCAAACCTGGATTTAAGATTCTTCCAAAGTTTTGCAGGATCTTCCATTTCCAAATCTTGATGTTGTAATGCAGATACAAGATGACGATGAAGAAAAAGAAGTGCTTTCTAACGAATAGTAAGAAGAATAGAAATACTTATTGTAGGAGATTCTTCAAATATAATGGCATCCGAGAATTGTTCTGCAAATAAATTTACTTTTGCTATTTTTATCTATAATAGATAATTATTTCCATCTATAGTCAATGGTGGAAATAAAAGAACTTGAAAATGTTGAGATGCACTAGTAATAGTTGGAACTATAGTAGAAGCAGTTGAATGTGTTGAAGCACTCATTATAAATAAATAGTAGTAAGACGGCGATAGCAAGTGGCGGCAGCGACAAGTGCCAATGATTGGTGACGGAAGGATGGTGGCGGCAGTAAGGTAGCGGGCAACAGCAATAGCAACAAGGTCAGCAATAGTTTGGCGGTAGGGCAGCAAACAACAACAATAGCAGCAGGGTTGGCAACTGCTCAGCGGCTATTCGACGGTTGTTCGATGACAAGCATGGGGCTTAGTAGGGAGCAAGCTGGGTTGGAACTGGTTGGAGCTGGACTGGATTAAATATCCTAAGCAAGTATTCTAAGCAAGGAGGGCAGAGAGTGGAATAAGTACTCTAAGCAAGCAACTAATGTTTGAAGGGCCAGCAAGAAAAGCAGCAAGATCATGAGGCAAACACTGAGCAAGAGTAGCAACAGGTTTGAAGAGTCAAGTGTAGAACAAAAAAAAATTGTAATAGTGTATAGAAGAAAGTCGTGCTGATAACATGTTGAGAATGTTTAAAAAGACACAAGAGTAGTAATAAGTCATACACACAAGAGGGTTTCTAAGGAGAGAGAGCTTCACACATAAAAATCTATTGATCTGGTTGTGTCTCGTATACAAGAAGAGAAAGGGGAGAAGATAAACAATTCTTCTCCACTAGACTCTAAATACTATAGCTATAGTATTTACTATAGTCTTCAATAAATACTATAGAGAGTGCCGGCTACATTTAATGCTCACAACACAATGCAAGGTATTTGGATGTACTTTGATTATTTCTTTAGAACAATATCATACAACAATCCTGGTTGCATTTGCTTGATTAAAATTTAAGCCAAATACCATTCTGCAATAAGGAACAAACTTAAATTTGACACATGTAGAAGGTTACTGGAAATTTCGTTAAACGTACACGAAATGAATAGTGCAGAACTGAGGCATTAAATAGGAGTAGAATAAGCTCTAAAACAGATGTATGAAAACTTACATTCCTTTCTCAACTTTCTAATAAAATTATTGAATGACACCCATACTCAGTTTGATCTGAAAAAAAAAATTGTAGGTTTTAAAATATAACTAAAAGAAGTATTCTATGAAGAAGTATTCTATGTGAAACAAGTGTATAATTGTTCTCGTGAACATGCAACAATAAATTGCACGAGACAAATTTACACGCAATCACAATATATAATGCTGATACCCAAGATGGCATGCGCATCTGAGACTGAATATTTTTAATGCACATTTGACGTGAGAAACTGATACATAATTTCCTACATAACAGCTCACAATCAAGGTGGTTCTGCGCGGAAAATCTACCACTCAAACTAGTTCCTGTCCACCTAAACGCATCCTCTCATGGATGTTCCCATTAAATTCACGTACACAATCTACAGCGGCTCTACGACAATTCCAATGACAAACCATTGTTTTTGTTACTCACAATTTCGAAACAAGGAATGACATGTATGGCGACAAAATTTTAGGGCAACCCATACTACTATGAATAGGCAATCGTGGATTCCTCTTGGAAGAGAACCTGAACCAACTTAACGTTCTGACGATCATGGGGCAGCCAAAATGGACTGGAGTGTGGCCTGCTGTTGAGGGTCTAGGACAGACCAGGTCGCTGCAAGAGCATCAGGATGCAGAGTCTGCTGCAGTTGCTTCAACAATCGAACCATGCGCGCAGCCGTTTGCTCGGCAGCAAGCTCGGTTCCAGCACTCAAGACCTGCATGCATTCATTGCAAATGAATCAGTAGGCATTCATCCAACACACGCAAGTTAGAACATGGCGCCCGAGCCAATTTTGAGGATTGCAGGAAGCATCGTCAACAGATCGGTAACTGACGAAACAAAGCAACGAATCGAATGAAGTCAATTACCTCAGCAAAAACAGAGATGATTTTAGAGAGATATTGATTATTTGGGCCCAGAAGAAATGGATCGGACCTGCAAGGAATAAAATAGTTAGTACCCAAATTTAATTAACATCTTGGAACAGTTTTTAAATTTCAGGATGAACAATTTCCGGCAGTGAAAGAAGAGATAGTGATTAGACACACCTCTCGACCATTTTGCAAAGCTGCTCATGAACAATTTTAGCCTCCACAAGGTCTCCTTTTAATGGCAAACATCCCAGCCATGCCGGAACAACCTGCATGTTTAGAAGAGATATAGAATACCTAAATAAGTGAGTATGAAAAAAATATAATTATTACATATATTTCCCAGTCACAAAAGGTGAGTCAAAGATATTTTCGTAAACACAAAAGGAAAATACGACACACAACATATTTGGTTGAATAAGAAGTCAGAGATCGGTAGCTTACGGTGGCACCATCAATATTATCCCTTTGATGCTCACAAATTTTTCCGAGAGCAGACACGGCATTATCAGTTGCCATAATGTTCTCCGCAGAACGTGACGTAGGTTGACTGATGGTCGCATTGAGCCTTGCAAGAGCATCTGCCAAGTCATACCAGCAAAATTAAGTATTTTCAATATTTAGGAAACAACGAAGTGTACGCACTTCTGGTCCGTAATTATGTTATCAAGTATGTTAACATATGTGTTGGCAAATGGGTACTCGTCATGTATGTGCACCAAAGGCGAGTTTTGGTTGCAAAATCTCAAGGATTAAATTTTTATGTAACCAGTAAATGAAATCTCCACCACTTGACTAGATGAAAATTCTAGCACTCGAATCAGAATACCCACCTCCTACTAAGGGCTTGAACGCAGCACCACCAAACTCAGCACAGACTCCAATTCCATATACTGATGCCTGCAAGGACCCATCAAATGAAATTTTAATGCCAAACATAAAACCTCACAACGAATAACTTTTCAAAGGTCAATTGTCAAATCACGATGCAGAAAACTTTTTCACACAACCTGACAGAAATACTATTACAATTCTTGAGGATCAAAGACTTGGCGAACAGACTTATAATCATTGTAAGATAATGCAAAGACCCAGATTTATGAAATCAAGTTTTAAATTTAATAAAAAGAATTTGAATTTAATTTTTAAAACCAACCCACCTGCCGAACATCAGCACTGCCGTCGTTGCAACCTTCCAACAAGACTGGAAGAAAAGTGCTGTAATACCTGCAGAACTCGAGAACGATCAGAAAAAGCAGCTAGTATTGACAACAAAAGGCTCAACTATTCGATAAAATGAACTGCAGCAATGACCAACGCGTGATTGTTTTGTCATAGCATAACCACACTAAAACTTATTTCCACTGCTCTCCATTCTAAATACAAGTCCAGTAAATCCTTGAAGAAGTTTCCAAGACAATGCAACTTTAAACTCAATCTGGCTCAGCTTTCGATGTATATCCAGTATGTCTCAAGTGGGAATGCGATGAGTCTTACAATCAATGCACTAAAATAAAATGCTTACTTAATAGCAGCGTCGCCACATTGCTCGGCAACATCATCGAAAACACAGATGGCAACTCTTCTTTCATCAGGTGTTCGTTCTTTTCCCTATCCACCCAGCACAATCAAATATGAAATAGATGACAGAAAATCAACTTGTATGAAGAAATAGTTTGGTGATTCCCGATGAGGATGAACTTTCAAACAAAAGACAAAAGGCAAGGGAAAATATTTACCAGCATGGGTGTAATGTAAGGAATCAGCTCCTCAAAGTACATCAAGAACGACGTTTTGAAGATCTTTATTAAAGATCCAAGACACTCTCCCACCTGCAGAATACCAAAAGATAACAGATGTTAAAATGTTAACGGCGATGAACTAACTATGAAAGAATGAATAAAAAGTAGACAATACGCTGATACAACAGACCTGCTCGAAGACTTCCTCTTCTTGTTCGTTTTCTTCTTCAAGGAGTTCCCCTTCCTCCGCGTCAAAGTCCTCAGTTTGGGTTCGCTCAGCTCTCTCTCTTTTGCGAGTAACGCTTGCTGCAATGACCTGCTTAAACTGTTCTACCATTGACTTGATTTGATGTGCATCAAGCAGTGGTCCTGCGACCTGAAGATGACCGACAAACGGTCACGATTAACCAACCAAAATCAATGAAGTTAGGGACCGAACTGATGATTCAGAGTTGGAAAAAGAACGAGAAGATTATAATGTCGAATGGTGGGCAAACCTGAATACACTCGTTTAGGGCATCCAACATACTGGAACAGATTTCCGTTTCTGGTTCCTGCAACCAGAAGTTCACATCAGACCAGCGGAGCAAACCATTCAAACGATCATCGATAAGGAAAGAATACAAGAACAAAAATGCATGTGACTTAGAATCTGCATACTTTATATGAGCTAACAGTACCTATCATATAATAAAATCTTAATAACACAGCGTTTTAAACCTCACATTCTAGAAAAAGAAATTCTACCTTGTGCATTGCCTCTACAAGAGGTGGTATAATGTAGTCTGCAAGCTGTTTCACATAAGACTCATCACGACCAGGTGCTTGTCCCTTCTCCACAGCAAGTTTACCAGAACGCAGGAGCTCAGGCATGGCTGAAGACAGAAGGTATGCGTTAGATGTGTAAGACTAAGGGAACACAAGAAACGTTGAGAAAATCGAAATAGTTGACCAGGTACAAAAACAGCAGTCTACAGAAGAACTGTAACGGAAGAAATTGTCTGAAAGTCGAGTCCGTAAAACGGTACGGAAATCTCAAATCACATCGCCCGAGGAGGAAGCACTAACCTGACACCGAAGCCTTCCGAACCTCCTCGTGAAAGTAGAATTTCAACAGGGGAACCAAAGTAGGGGCAACCTGGAAGCTCAAAAATACAGAAGAAAAAATTAATAGTTTTTAAGAACAAGCCTAATGAAATATTAGAGTACAAACTTCCTCAATAATCTCGAATTTGCAAGAACTTCGGGCATGATCAAAGGACCTATACAATTCGGGAGACCTGTATTAATTGGAAATAAAGAATATCAGCCAACAAAGTAAGACCGATGGGTAAAACACGCACCTGATCAACCCAAGGATAGAAACCCTCCTTGAGTTCATCCGCATAACAACACAACATGTTGCAAGCAGTAGCTTTTTCTTCCAAAACGCTGGTGCGGATACCAATTTTCTTATCGCCAATGGTGATAGTCTCAACACTGAAAGAGAAATAATTTATTTTTGAACAAAGACGGTTTAACATTGAATGATATGCATACCAAAACAAGCTGTTTCCGACAGGCACAACCGGACACTAAGAAAGAGAGAGATGCAAGTCAAGCCTTAGAAATACTGAGATAACTACAATATGGACATCTAATGAAAATGACTATAGCCACCAACATCGCCTTCGTTATCTCGAGAAACACGAATTGCACAGAACTTCGGAACTCATTATTTTTAGGAAGGTCCGTACCTATCATCATCAGACTCGTTGCCCTCATCATCAGAGTCAGCATCAGTGATGGTGACGTCGGGTTTCAACTGAGCGGATCGTAGTAATGGTGGCATGACCACGCTCATGTAAGGCAGAAACTCTTGACCTAAACACTTGCATAACCTGGCCCATGCCTGTGCCATAAAAATTCAGAATGAGACTTTAGAACATGCGCGAGCAAGTATAGCATATAAAGTGCAAGATTCGGGAAAGCTTACATAGGCAATTTGTACCAAAATCACACCTGCAACATATAACTAATAGTAGGATCGTCGTCCTCCATTTGAGCACCTTGCAGCGTCATAAGAACCTCCATAACCTGCTTTGCGTCCTCTCGAAATTTGTCCTTCCCAACAGCCATACCTACCAAGCTGATGCACTCCATGGACTTGGCTCGCAACATGCGGTTTTGCTTATCGTTGGCCCCAATTAAAATAGTCTTAAGATATGGCATCACGGTATCGTAGTACTTCTGGAAGTGGGCCTGAATGAAGAAACATTCTCGGGATGAGTTACTTAATCAAGATCAAGAACAGATTTGAAAAGAAATGATTTCAGACACTGTAAAAGAAATGTAAATCGACGTCGCAAAATCCACTTGATCTATGAGGGATTCCAAGAAAAACACAAGCAACAAACCTGAGCGGAGTCCGCAACCGAAGCAAGAGCAGTCAAAGCACCTTCTTGAACCATTCTCTTTCCATTCTGAAAATAACCACGAAGTAATTCCACTCGTTATTTGAAGCTGAAAGGCGGAATAGATATTAATATATAAGTACTAATTAATTTATGCGTCATCAACATCAACTCTTCATAGTTATTATATAAGTACTTATATAATAACTATGAAGAGTTGATGTTGATGACGCATAAAAACATCGATAAGTATGATACAGTTAAATATGCTATAAATCCCATACCTGGAGAAGAATCAAAAGCTTAGAGATGACTCCATCTAAATATGGGGTCAAGATCTCAGGCGTGCAGCTCTCACTGAAGTTAAGCACAGCAGCGGCAGCATGTGCCTGCTCGCATATCCACACCATTACTACGAAATCGATAACATGGTACCGCAGTATCTCGATTTGAGTGATTATATTTAAGTAGCATAATAAATCCGACCACCCAAGCTATCACAACGTCGTTCATTCTATCTCAAATGTATCATGCGAAGACCATCGATAGTAACAGATGAAATTTAGCACTTCGGAAAACAATAGGCTTGCATTGGAAAACGAAAATGCAAGCGAACACATGCAACCACCCAGCATACCTGTACACGCGGGTTTTGGAAATCATCCATTGCATTAACTAGGGCAGGAAGAACTTGCTGGTGGTAATTTTGTTGCAAGTCAGGTCCTAGATCAGTCGACAACTGACCAATAGCATTTATGGCGGCCCAGCGCACACGAGAATGTGAATCCCGAAATGAATTCAAAATCATGCCCACGACTGAGTCAAGGTTATTGATCATAACCTGCAAGAAACCACCACAAAGTTCACGACAAGCCCATGGAATGTACCAAGCACATTAAGTTGTTGAGCACAAGTAAACCAGCCACATCTTGAAAACTTGCCATGCAATACAACGTATGTCCGCATTAAGAAAAGAGAGAAATCTACACCTTGGCACACCCTTCAGCAATTTGCGCAAGAGTGATAAGAGCTGCATGCCTCTTCTTCCAGTCACCATCATTGATGAAGGAAGGAAGCAATTGAGAGGCCACGGGAAGCACTGTATTTCCTCCAAGAGAAATGGCCAGCCGGTCTAGACATTCCTGACCAACTTCATAATCAGCCGTCTCTCCGATATCTTCCTCTTCAGTATCAGCCAAATACCATTGGGGATCGTCTTCGATGTCTAGGAGCATTTTCATCAGAGCAGCAAAAAGTCTGGTGGTATACTGAGGAAGCTTGCGCATCATTCCGGGAGCCCGCTCTCTGGCCTCAGCAAGAGTGATCAAAAACTCCACTGCCAAGTGCCGAGTTCCTTCCTCCAACTCTTCTGCTTCCGCAATTTGTAGCATGTTGCCAACAACTTCCGCTAATTGACGACGCAAAAAGCGCGGCTCAGTTCCAGCCACTTCGATAAACATTTCCAGTGCTTCTTGTGCAGTTGCCTCCTCGCGATTATTCAGAGCGAGTGACAGTGTCTGCAACATTCCTGGAAGGAGATCTTGAAAACGTTCCCTTTCTTGAGCAGTTTCTAGCGTTTGAACGAAGTTGGTAGTGGCCCGAAGAGCTGCGATTCGGACATCTCCCGAAGTTTGTGCAGATAAATTTTGTTGAAAAACGGTGTTAAGGGTCGGTAAGTAGGTCCTGAGCTGGGGCCCAATGTATTGTGCAAGCTGGGCAAACATCAGAAGAGCGCTCTCTCTCAACCGCATGGAATCAGAGCTGACGCATTGAAACATAAAGGGAAGAAGCTCGGGCCACATTCCTTCCTCGAGAATTCCAGCTGCAAGTTCCGCAACAGTGTCGCAGAGCTTCTTAGATATACTCTTCTCTTCTTCTTTTTGAAGACATAAGAGGAGCTGGCCTTTGACCGCTGCTTGCGTAGTAGATGCAAGTTGAGGCCATAGTGACACATCATCTTTAGTAATAAGTTTTCTCAATAGAATGGCAACCATCGCACGGACTTCCAGTTGCTGGGAAACCTGTAGATGCGACGTAATACGGTGGGAAACTTAGATATAAAGTATGCATACAACAGGTATGAGGAAACGACAGAAGCAAACAAATTGTAGTTATTTAATTCACCATATTAAATTGTTCCATTGGAAACATATGATATGTGAGGAAAAATTCATGATCAATTTACAGATTCTCCTTCGATTTAGGTTTGAATGACTCGAGAGAGAGTTTGAAAAAAAAAAAAAAAAAAAAGAAGAAAAAAAAAACGAGTGTTTCACAGTAGAACGGAAGAATTCGCAACATCCTCGTAGGTACTTATCAGTTCTTTCCTATGAGGATCAAGTATTTGTTTCGGAATGAAAACCACTCAATAACTCAACAATCAAGTACATCTTTCAGATCTTAAAAACTCCCATCCGCTTGGTTTCAAGAAAAAATTGCATTCTAAACCTTTAAGTAAATTAACAGTAAAAGTATCTTTTAAGTTTTACATGAAAGTCATGATTAACCTTGTAATAGAACCACTAACGAAAGCTCTCTAAATTATCTTATCAGAGACCTAGTTTTCTTTCGTACATGAATGGCGAGATTGGCCTATCAGGTTTATTATTTGTGAATATAAACCAAATGAAGTTGGGATAAATTCCTTCGTATGCGAGTACGAGAACAATTTCATAACCTAGGGTACCACATTGTTCAAAGCCGACACTGAAACCTAGAACCCGAGATTACTTCCCACAATGTTACTAAGCTTACAGTAGTTCGACGGTAAAGAATGATTGGAGAGTCGACAAGTACTGGACTCACGGGACCTAATTCAACTCTCTACGTGACCATTAAGTAAGTGTGATTAGAGATGAGTAGAGGGCTGCGCAGAGACCATAAATACGGACAGATCGAGGCGTGAAACGATCTAATAGAAAGGATCATCTAACCTGTAGAGCATGGATCATCTTCATAACAAGTGCATCCGCATGATGCTGCTTGCAGTAATTGAACAGCTCCTCAGCCTGACCGCGCTGCTCGTTTCCGGGACTCATCAGCTGGCCAACAAGAGCTTCAAGTGGAGCCACGCCATCGCCTGCCAGCACCAAGGCGACCTGTGCGTCAAGGGCATGTCCTGCCCCCATATTCATCGCCATAGCTCCCAACCCGACGCGGCTGTAGCCAAGCACAACCGCGATTTTATCCTAATACTCCTCCCTCAATGATCGTCCACCTTCCTGGTGGCAACAAATCAAGATTTCAATGACGATCCCCATCACCGACACCGCCAAATTTTGCGACTGCAAAATCCGCACACTCATAAAACCATATCTTCAAAAAACCAATCTAAATTCTAATTCAAACCAGGCAATGAGGTGGAGAACACCGCCAGATACGACTCCCAAAAACCTTCCCCCCAGACCGCGATGGACAGATCGTAATCTGGCCTACCTCTGCCCGCCCTCTCCACAGCCTCCACTCCAAATGTCTACTGTTCTTTCGATACAAAAGTGGAAAATGAAGCGTCGTCCTATCACATCGCGGCGAGGACCAGAAGCAAGTGAAAGGGGCAGGGGAAGGGAAAGGAAAGGAAATAGGGAGGGAGGGAGGGAGGGAGGGAGGGGATGATGGGAGGAAACAGACCGCAGTAGCAGCAGCGGGATGCTGTGATGGCAGAATGACGGAAGCAGCACAGCACGGAAACAGGGGAAGGGAGCGAAACAGCAGAAAGCAGGGCTGGCTGGCTGCCAGGGCTTGAGCGCCAGCGCGGCTCAACATTCAACTGGACCTGGGAACACTGGAACTAGAAATTAGGGTTTGAGCTGCTCCGTGTTCCCACGCCCGACCCCACCCCCCCCCCCCCACCCACCCGCGATGTCAGGCCACGGGGGGGCTCCCGAGCCTGCTCGTTTCTATTCTCAGTTCGACGAGACTCATCAGACGAACGATCTGGGACGAAAAAATTCATTCTCGGTTTTTCCGTTCCATTCCGTCATCCTTGCGCATGGCGGCGCCGGCCCCCAGCTTTACCCTACCCGCGGATGCGAGACGACCCGGGATTGCCATATTACGTTTCCCAATGCTCTATGACGGTAATAGGTCTATCCATTTCCAAGTATGTAAGGCCTCTTTCACATTAAAGCTCGTGTTTAAGTTAATATAAATTATAATTCTCACATTTCTCTCCTTGGTGATTTAATTAGTTTAACATGCTTTAAAACATATATGAAAATTAAAAAGTAAAATTTAAATGTTAATTATAAGGTTTCAATAGTCCTAAAATGTTTCTTAAGTATGTTATTTTGTTTTGAAAAATAAAGTGTAGGATGAATAAACTGTTGTTTTGTACCAAGGTCTTAGTAAAACCATTTGTTTCAATAGGTTAACTTAAGAAAGAAAAATTTTTGTTGTAAAATTGTGGTCAATCAAATAAAATCACACATAAAGCAATATTTGTATTATGAAAAAATGTTACACCAAAGGAAAATGTGTTACTAAACCTCTTTGATTTGGTGTAAAGAAAAAAAAAGAAAAAAAAAGAAAAAAAAAGGTAAATGAATAAATAGATGAAAAATAAAAGAAAAATTCATGTCAAATATAATAATAAAATAAAACATCTACATCATCAGCTTGGTAAATCTTAGTATCATCTTTAAATTTACAATCTCTCAATATACATGTTTCATCTATTTTTTTAATTTTCATCAAGTCATTAGTCAGGTATCAAAAAAGTGTTATGAATAAAGTTCAATTCAACTGTGACTCTTTCATATTTTTTCACATCTTGTATTTTTCATTGAAAAAACTGAATGACATGGAATTATAAAAACAAAAACAGGGCGGGGAGGGGGGGGGGGTGGAAATAATAAACAACATGAACATGTTGATGTCATACTGCAACTTAAATTTTTCAAATTATTTATCTCAAATCTCATAGTCCTATATTTTCCAGTTAATTTTCTCTTTCTTTCTTTTTTCTTTTTTAATAACTAAAATTTATTAGAGCTTTGGACATTTTTTTATTGAATCATATTTAGTTAATCATACCTTTTCACTGATATTCCATTTTTCAAGCATCAATTCATCATGTAAAACTATCAATTACATCAAAATTAAATCAGCATAATTGAATTGATAAAAATAATAGTAGAAAAGAAAAATGCAAAATTTATAGAATATCAGTGTGCAAACTTGTTTAAACCTTGAAGTTTAGGCATTTTCAATCTATTAATACAGAGTTTATTTCTCCTCTCTTTATTTAATATCCAAACCATTCTAATTTTTCTTTATTTTTTTTTCCATGATTAAGAACACCTTGACATTATTCGAATTTCACCACATATTACTTTGCAATCATAAAAATATTTAAAAAGTATAAACTTATGAGAGTTTGAATCAAAAATTAAATATACATACCACTTTTAAAATTTTCATCCAAGAATTTCATGAGTAAAGATAAATAAACTTTTTTTTGAATCAAATATTCAAGATATTTTTATTATAATTTAATAAAAATTTTATCCATAATATCACTATTATTCTAAATATACATATAAAGAATTGATAAGTAAATAATGTACTTATAACTCACTTTAATGTACTTCTAAAATCAATAAACCATTAAAATAAATGTACCATTAAATAATACGTCATTACCAAAAAGTAAGTTATAATGATAAAACAATAAAAAATAAACAAGATCAAAATTTGATTTTACAAGAAAATGATATAATTTAATAATTTCTACAACTTGTAAATTTACAAAATTTATTTTATTTGTTAATTGTAAGCTTTGTTGATGGTTATTTTTTCAAACATTAAAAAAAATAAATCTAATTTAGTATAAAAAAAAAGAACAAGTAACTACTTTTCAAAGATAAGAATGTTTCTTTTACATTCTTATTTCAAAATATTATAGTCTCTTTTGTATATGATTATGATTATTCTAATCTTTTATTATTTTATAGATATATATTATTATTGATTATTTTTAATTTTAATTATATTATTTTATTTATAAATTTATTAATTTTTTAAAAAATTATTCTATAAATCTAAATTTTTAATAATTAGTTCAAAGTCTTTATGTAACATGGTATAGAAAAGATAATTATATAGATAGTTAGAACCATGGAAGTTTTTAGAATTGGAGTTAGGTTAGTGGACTAGGTAGGACCCTCATAGAACATTCTAGAAAGGATTTACGATGGTTATTAAGGTGGAGCCCACCATAGAACCTTCTAGAAGAAAACTTAGGGTAGTTATTTAAGTGGGGTCTACTACCTAAGAACATTCTAAAAAGTCTAGAGTGGTAGGATAAGGTATAAATAGGATTGGCTAGGACCTTTTTGAGCTTTTGATCAAGTATGGCTTCAAGCCCTTTTTCTTAGTAAAGTTTGGTTTTACATCTTTTTGTTCAGTTCTGTTCTATTCTCTTCCAATCTGCTCAATTGTCTTTCATGTCATATTTTGTATAATTGAGTTTAGTTCTATTTTGATCTATTTTGTCTTATTTTGTGATGAGATTTTATATTGTGGAATAGAAGGATCTTGGATTTTTGAGATAATCTGGTCTTGTTTCATTGGTATCAGAGCGAGTGTTAGATTTTTTACTTTTGGTAGCATGTCAATAGTCATCATTTTATCTAAGGTTAGTTGTTGTGGTCACATTGGATACTATGTTGAGGCTATCACAAATTACTCTTAAAAAATCAATTAGGAGATGAAAGGGCATTACAATAGGAGAGTCCAACAGAGAAATTATAATATGGAAGATATGGGGGAGCAATCCCAAATGGAGGCTCAAATACAACACCTCTTATGCCAGATAGCTAATTTGCATGGACAAATAGAAGCCTTGAGGACAAGAGAGTTGACATCTGCTAGGTTGAAATTGAATAAGCCTAATACATACTCTAGAACTTCAAAACAAGAAGATATATGTTAATGGCTTTTTAATATGCAAAAATACCTCTTACTATTTGGGACAAATACTACTAAATGAATTATATATGGAGCGAGCTATTTAAGAGATGTGACAGCTATTTGGTGGCAACATCGAGTTCAAAGTTATAGAGCTCAAGGTGGATTTTGTGACTTGAGAAGAGTTTGAGATGGAGTTTAGGAATCAATTTTAGTCCATCAATGTGAGAAAGATAGCATATAATTACTTGACAAATCTTACACAAGCTAAGTCAATGTAAGATTATGTTTCCCAATTTAAGTCTGTATATCTCTAAATTGAGAATATTTTAAAGACAGAAATAATAGATCGATTCCTACAAGGTTTGAAACCTAGAGTCGAGCAAGAGGTGGAGCTAAGGGATCCACAAACATTCAAAGAAGCAATTCAGATTGCAGAGATGGTTGATGCTATAGATTTCAAAAATTGTGGAGCACGACCTATAGCATGAAGTCTTATGACGTTATCTAATATTATGGCATAACAACCAATGCCAATAGAGATTGATCTGTAGTAAATTGGATCTTTGGAGCTGCTATTGGAAAACACCTATTTCAAGGGAGGATGTAAAAAAGACAACATTTTGTATGCACTATGGACATTTCGAATGGCTGGTTTTATCTTTTGGCCTTACCAATGTTCCAGCCTCTTTCATAGATCACATGAATAAATTATTTTGAAACCTTTTGAATAAGTATGCAGTCGTCTTCATTGATGATATCTTTATATATAATAAAATTCATAAAGAGTATGAACAATACTTATGAGAGGTGTTGCACCAACTACAAAATAGTTGCTTTTATTGTAAGCAATCAAAATCTTAACTTTAGAAGTAGGAAGTTACTTTTTTGGAGCATATGGTGTCCTCCAAAGGCATGCATATGGAGTAAAATAAGGTAAAAGCAGTAGAGGATTGGCCAACTCCCAAGGATGCTTTTGAAGTTTGATCATTTTTAGGCCTTACTGGATACTATTGTCATTTTGTTCAGCGATTTGCTCACATTGCTATCTTATTGACAAACATATTAGAGAAGGGTGCTCCATTTGAATGGAAACTGGAGCAATAAAACGCCTTTAATAAGTTGAAGGAGGCACTCATTACTGCTGCAAAATTGCAATTGTATGATTATAATCTCCCTTGTATTCTTAACATTGATGCTTCTAACTTTACTATTGGAGTGGTTCTTCAATAAGACCCTGGTAGGAGCCTTCAACATATGTCATATAGATCATGCAAGCTCAAAAGGATAGAGCGCAATTATTATGCATGTCATCGGGAGCAATTAGCAATTGTACATGCCACAAAGATGTGGCGACACTACATATTGGAAAAGCTAGTGGTTGTTTAGACTGACCATTGACCCTTGCTACATGATTTGTATCTAGAAAATATGAAATTACAGCGTCATTGTTGAATAGAATGGTTGTACTTTTTTGATATCTAGCTTGAGTACAAACAAAGGTGACAACATACTTTGCCAGATAATTTATCATGGAGACTAGATTTGAAATACAAATCAAAAGACAAGGCAAAAATTGCTACCATTAATAGTATCATTTTAGATCTAATCAAAGAGATAGAATAGAAAGAAGCTACATATTGGGATGCTTATTTTAAGATGGTTAGCAATCAATTGAAGGTAGACAATATAT